GTGACCAACAAGTTTAGGCTGTATGTGCAAGAGGAAGTGATCCCGTCGGTGGAGGAAAACCCAATCAAGTGTCTCGGAAAGTGGTTTGACAACTCACTGGCCGACCGAAACAACATGGTCAATACAGAGAAGCAGACAGAGGAATGGTTGAGGAGTATCGAAAAGTCAGGACTTCCAGGGAAATTTAAAGCGTGGCTCTATCAACACGGGCTGCTGCCAAGGCTCACATGGTTACTGACTGTGTATGAAGCCCCAATGACAAGCGTGGAAGGGATGGAGAGGAAAGTCAATAAGTATCTCCGGAAGTGGCTGGGGATTCCTCCAAGCTTCACGTCAGTAGGCCTGTACATAAGATCAGGACAACTTCAACTTCCTTTGACATCCGTGGTGGAGGAGTTTAAAGTTGCCAAGTGCAGAGTCATCATGACCTACCGAGACTCCCCCGATGATCAAGTCAGACACGCAGGGATCGTCACGAGATCCGGCCGCAAATGGGGAGCTGAGGCAACGGTCACACAGACGGAAAGCATGCTGAAGATCCGTGACATCATTGGGGCACCATGCACAGGAAGACAGGGTCTTGGAACATCCCATTTCCAACAGTGGAGCAAGGCAGGAACTAGGGAAAGAAAAGTGATGATTCAGGAGGAGGTTAGTAGTTTGGAGAAGGAAGGGCGAAGGTCAAAGGCTGTGGCACTATCTTCCCAAGGAGCCTGGACCAAGTGGGACCTCCCCAAGCGTAAGATCACTTGGGCAGAGCTTTGGAGGCTGGAGCCGTTTCGTATCTCCTTCTTACTGCGATCAGTGTATGACACACTCCCGACCCCAGCAAATTTGCACAGGTTGGGGCTATCTGAGAGCCCACTGTGCAAGCCCTGCGGGGAGAAAGGGACCATGGCGCATATCCTGTCTGGGTGTAAAATTGCACTGGCCCAAGGAAGATACAGGTGGCGCCATGACAAGGTGCTCATGACACTTGCTCGTGGGTTCCCTGCCCAGTCTGTATGGTGAATGTTCACAGCCATTGGATTGTGAGGGAGGGAAAGAAAGGTTGCAGCTCGCAGGATGGGGGAGGCAGCGGAAAAAGCCTCATGCTGGTTTTGGAGTAGGAGGGAGGAGGTTAGCTGGAAGCCAGGAGGAGGAGATGGGCAGTGACTTGGCCACCACTGCCGACCCACCACCGGGAGGATGTAGTGGTTCAGGGTCGAAACAGCCAGTGAACGGTGGATGCCACCTGATGACATTGATTCCTCCTGGCCAAGGCTACATTCACTCAGGGTGAATGAAGGAGAAGCATCTTGGGATGTATATATATTGCCTCTCTTGGTCTGTTCAGAACCAGAACCTCCTCCTCTCTGGCTACGTTCAGAACCAGAATCTCCTCCTCTCTGGGTCCGTTCAGAACCTGAACCTCTTCCTGTCTTGGTCCATTAAGAGCCAGAACCTCTTACTCACTCGGTCCATTCAGAACCAAATACTCTTCCTCTCTTGGTCTGTTCAGAACCAGAACCTCCTCTTCTCTGGGTCCATTCAGAACCAGAATCTCCTTCTCTCTGGGTCAGTTTGGAACCCTAACCTCTTCCTCTCTGGGTCCTTTTAAAACCAGATTCTCCTCCTCTCTGGGTCCGTTCAGAACGTAATTCTCTTTGGGTCCATTCAGAACCAGAACCTGTTCCTGTCTGGGTTTTTTCAGAACCAGAACCTCTTCCTCTCTTGGTCCATTCAGAACCAGAACCTCTACCTCTCTAGGTCCATTCAAAACCAACTGCTACTCTCTGGGACCGTTTGAGAACCGCCGCATGCTGTCTGGATGTTCCTCTCTGGGTGCATTCAGAACCAGAACCTTTTCCTCTCAGGATCTGTTAAGAACCAGAACATCTTCCTCTCTGGGTCCATTATGATCCATCTCCTCCTCTCTGGGTCAGTTCAGAAGCAGAACCTGCTCCTCTCTGGGTTGATTCAGAACAATAAACTTCTCATCTCCGGGTCCATTCAAACTAATACCTCTTCTTCTCTGGGTCCATTCAGAACCAGAGACTGTTCCTCTCTAGTTCTGTTCAGAACCAGATTCTCCTTCTATCTGGGTCAGTTCAGAACAAGATCATCCTCCTCTCTTGATCCGTTTAAAACCAAAATCCCTTCATATATGGGTCTGTTCAGATCAAAAAGCCCTTCCTCTCTTGGTCCATTCAGAACCAGAATCTCTTCCTCTCTTGGTCCGTTCAGAACCAGAACCTTTTCCTCTCTTGCTCCGTTCAGAACCAGAACCTCCTAATCTCTGGGTTTGTTCAGAATCTCCTTCGCTCTGGGTCTGTTCAGAACCAGAACCTCTTCCTTTCAGGAATTGTTAAGTACCAGAACATCTTCCTCTCTGGGTCAATTCAGATCCATCTCCCCCTCTCTGGGTCAGTTCAGAAGCAGAACCTGCTCCTCTCTGGGTTGATTCAGAACAATAAACTTCTCTTCTCCGGGTCCATTCAAACTAATACCTCTTCTTCTCTGGGTCCATTCAGAACCAGAGACTGTTCCTCTCTAGTTCTATTCAGAACCAGATTCTACTTATATCTGGGTCAGTTCAGAACAAGATCATCCTCCTCTCTTGATCCGTTTAATACCACAATCTCTTCATNTAAAATTGTACTTGCCCAAGGACGATACAGGTGTCACCATGACAAGGTGCTCATGACACTTGCCAACACCGTAGAGCAGGAGAGGAAGAAGAAACGGCAGAAACATCCAAAGGCAACATCAATCCAGTTTGTAAGGGAAGGGGAAAAGCCACCAACCGCAGTTACAGCAAAACATAGTCTCCTGCAAAAGGCCCAATCCTGGGAAATGAAGGTTGACCTGGGGGGGGAAGGTTGAAGTTCCCACAGTTTGTCCAGACATCCCTGTGGCTAGATGTAGTACTGTGGTCGGAAGAAGGGAAGAAGATCATCCTTATTGAACTGAGTGTCCCATGGGAAGAGGGGTGTGAACAGGCCTACACTAGGCCTGTTTTTGAGAAATATGCTTGAAAATAACATGCCCAAAATGACTTGAATATATCTCAAGAACTACAGAGTTTATTTTAATTGTGTTGGTATCAAAATAAAGGCAAGACCCCAGAGAATATGTTACAGGTCTAAAAACCATCTTGGGGCGAGTGCTGAGGACCCAAATTTGGGTCCTCATGTTATGAAAAGGTTAAAAGGAAAAGTGGAAAGTATCAAGACCTTCTGTATGAGTGCAGAGAGAAGGGATGGCAGTCATGGTTGTTCCCAGTCGAGGTCGGTTGTCGAGGGTTCCCGGCCCAGTCTGTATGGAGAATGTTCACAGCCATTGGACTGGGAGGGGGGGAAAGAAAGGTTGCAGCTCGCAGGATCGGGGAGGCAGCGGAAAAACCCCCATGCTGGTTATGGAGTAGGAGGGAGGAGGCTATTGGCTTTATCAGGGCGTGATCTACAGCTCTCACTGGATCGGTTTGCAGCCGAGTGTGAAGCGGCCGGGATGAGGAACAGTGCCTCCAAATCTGAGACCATGGTCTTGAGCCGGAAAAGGGTAGAGTGCCTTCTCCAGGTTAGGGAGGATCTACTGCCCCTAGTGGAGGAGTTTAAGTATCTTGGGATCTTGTTCACAACTGAGGGGAAGATGGAGCGGGAAATTGACAGACGGATTGTTGCGGCGTCTGCTGTGAAGCGTGCGCTGTAGTGGTCTGTTGTGGTGAAGAGAGAGCTGAGCCAAAAAGTAAAGCTCTCGATTTACCGGTCGATCTACGTTCCTACCCTCATCGATGGTCATGAGCTCTGGGTCATGATTGAAAGAACGAGATCCCGGATACAAGCAGTGAAATAAGTTTTCTCCCTAGTGTGTCTGGGCTCTCCCTTAGAGATGGGTGAGAATACAAAATGTCAATAAAGTCTGTTTAAGTCCAAGTAGCAAACACACAAACTGGGACATATTTTAGACTTGATCATCACTATGGGTCTAAATATTTCCAAAGTGTCTGTAACTGATGTTCCCCACTTTTTGGTTATTTCTGAAGGCATCAATTACAATCTCTAATTTAGTCTTAAAGGCTTCCTGGGCCTCTTCTATAAACTTTGATCTTTAGTTCTTTCCATAGATTTGCCATTGGAGTCAGGTGATTGGCTTGGTCATTCTAGCAGCTTTATTTGACAATACAATAAAACTGTGGCATGTTCAACACTTATTTTTATATGGGTAGACGGAGGGTACCTGTTTAAAAACATACGTCTACGGGTAGAAAAATACCCATATTCTTTCACGGATGCAGGCATGGCTTCTTTTTCTATTTCTGCTTCTGTCTCCTTGAACCCCAGTGGGCCTCAGCAGATGGCCGCTCACACTGAGCCTGGTTCTACTGGAGGTTTCTTCCTGTTCAAAGGGAGTTTTTCCTCTCCACTGTCGCTACAAGCATGCTTAGTGTGAGGGATNGCCATGCTTTTCTGTGTAAGTAAGGTACAAATGTAAGAGGGCAGTAATCCAAGAAGGGCCTTGGAAATAAAAGTGTACCAATGATACTGCCTTCTCATAGAGAGGGAAGGTCACCCCACCTGAGAATACAGGTCAGTGATGTGTCATGGCTCTACAGTTTGTGTTAACCTTAATGAAGCATGGTAAACAGAGTCCAACATTTGAAGACATGAAGAAGTAGCATTCTTATACAAAAGGTCTCCATAATCTAAGACCGATGAAAAGGTGGCAGAAACAAGGAGCTTTTTTACTCCAAAAGAAAAACATGTCTTATTACGAAAGAAGAAAGCCAGTTTAACTTTTAATTTCTTCAAAATGTATCAATGAAAGGTTTGAAGGTGAGGGAGTCATCAATTACAATTACAAGGTATTTATATTCATGTAACACCTCAATGACATTCCCCTCCAGAGCGGGTACTACTGGAAGGGTTTGAGGCACCTTTCTATTATTTGAAAACAACATTAACTTTGTTTTGTTAGCATTCAGAAATAATTTAAGATTAATAAATGCATACTGTACAGCAACAAAGGCTTTCTGTAGGGAATAAATAGCCTGTTCAAGAGATGACCCAAAGCAATAAATAATGATATCATCAGCATAAAAACGCATATTAACATCAGAGAACTTTTGTTCAACATTGTTGATGTACAAGATAAATAAGACAGGGCCCAAAACAGATCCTTGTGGCACACCCTTGTGAACAGCAACAAATTCAGAATAAAGCCCCTCACATTTATGCACTGGGCCCTGTTTTCTAGATAATTTGAAAACCAAGCAACCGCATGCTCTGACAGTCCAATGAGAAGTAGCCTGTGTTTTAAAACAGCATGATCTACGGTGTCAAAAGCTTTTGAAAGATCAATAAAGACTGAAGCCCAGTACTGTTTTTATCAAGAGCTACAATTATATAATTTATCACCTTCATAGTAGCATTAATAGTGCTGCTCTTCCATTAATGAAATAACGAAAACATTAAAAAGTCACCTAATTCCGTCATTTTCCTCCAATGTGTTACTGGCCCTCCTGAACCGCTTACATCTTTGTCAGTGATGCTGAGAGCTCCCACATCTCTTCCTTCATGGTGCCCTTTAAGATTAAGTCCCAAAAATCTGAGATTAAAGTCAGCATTCTAATATTAATGACATAATTGTTGAAATCAATCAATTTATTTTTCTTTTTTTTAGTGGCTCTAATCCTCTTCCATAAAAAACTGACTTCCAGTAATTAATTATTTACATTATATTCTATGAGGGGGTCAAATCCATAATTCAGGCTCTTTTAAGAATCAGTTTTTATGTTTGATGTTGTAGAGTTTGTTTCTGCAGTCATCTTCCAAGTAATTAAAGATAAAGAACAACTGTTTATCTGTTTGTTTTGTAGAACTATAGATTCATTTAAACAGCACTGATGTATTAATATGTACGCAGCTTTATTAGCAAGAGCTTTATCAAAATCTATTGGATTAATAGGAACTGGTTTCAGTGCCTATTAGTTTCCACCTGCCGCCCCAATGAAACTTTTAGGGAAACTTCAATGGTTAAATGTGGAACTTGACCAGAGACAAACGGTTCCTTAGTGTCCCTCTGTAACATCTAAACAAGCTTTCTGGTTCAGACGCCCACTTTCTTCAACTGACATATCCAGGAGTGTCATGGCTGCCATCTATTCAATTCAGTTTATTTATATAGCGGCAATTCACAACACATCATCTCAAGGCACTTTACAGTTGACCAGATAATACAGTCAATTGAATCAGTTTTCTATCTCAGCAAAACCAGTTGATTGCATCGACTCAATGACTCAAATGCAATCCCTCACACTAAGCATGCTTGTAGTGACAGTGGAGAGGAAGAAACTTCCTTTTAACAGGAAGAAACCTCCACCAGAACTAGGCTAAGTGTCAGCGGCCAACTGCCGAGGCCGACTGCGGTTCAAGGAGACAGAATCAGAAATACAAAAGGCAGCTGTAAAGGCGGCCCAGTCCAGGAAACACACAGCCATAATATCATTCTACACACCTGGAATAGAAGAAACATTTTCTGGATGCCTGTTCCAGAAGATCTTGCCATATTAGGCCCCTACGTCGACAGACCTGAGGTGGCCAACTATAGTCTTTGCCACAGTTGTCCTTTACTGTTTTAGCCTTCATTCACATAAACTGCTTTTTCTGTGCGTGCTCTGTTCCATCACAAACTGAAACCTTTCTAGGCAGTCTGCTTATTCCTACAATGTCTGTTGCACTATAAAATCATAGTCCCCCCTCTTAGTCTGTCAAATAGACAGATCGAGTCTATCTGTGACTAAGCAAAACACATAATTTTCTGCAAAGCAGATCAGCCAGACAGGAGGTGAAACACAAGGAGATTAACAAGGATCTGCTAAATTTAAAACCAGCAGGCATAGACAGATGCAACACGCATTGACTGAGAACTCCAGTAGTGCAACCATTTGCAAGGGCTGTATAAAACTACAAATAGAATAAACTGTAAAATTGACTAAAACAAAAGTTAAACGTAGAACTAATGGTTGAAGCTTTCTGTCACAAAACCAAAATTAAGCTATGAAAGTGATGACATTTGCATGTGCCACAGAAAGTACATGTCACAAAATGAAGTATGCTTACCTCAATTCATGACATAGGCAGAGTCTATTCGTCTTGTCATACAAAGGGTTGATCGTAGAGGGGAATAACATGGTCAGGAGGTCCCTTCACTGATTCCTCCAAGTCCACACCTTCCTGCCAGTTCTACCTGTACAACGAATATCATAGCAACCTCTGACATTTGTCTGCTTGGCCTCAATTTTCTCTCATTTGGAAGGAGCCATAGCTGTATTATGTAATGTTCCGCAGCAATGATGTGAAGTCTTTTTACACTCAGCATTATTTCTGCTGGAATAGGTTCTGACTGTCAAACTTGGGAAAGACAAGTCCATTGGTCTGTTCTTTTAACATGTTTTTTAGCTTTGCCGTGACCTGGATTGGAACCTGGGTCACTGCGGCCACAACGCAGAGTACTGACCATTGTACGATCACGGCTGCCCTCCTCCGTGTCTTTACATCGGCTATCTGTTTTCTGCCCTACCTCACTCAGAGACATTGATATCGCTTTCTTTAGAAATACAGAAAGGTATGTCCCTGATATAGGTATCCACATTGTACTCCTGTAGTTTTAAGGTAAAGTTAAACTGGCATCCTTTGACAATGGTTTCTGCAGACACAACACGGCCATGTTAAAGAATACTACCAAAACTCAATAGAAAAACACAGCAACAATTTTAAACTCTATTGACAAGAACAAACATAATCCCTTAGGACTTTGCGGAAAGGGTTCACAATAGACGATTGTCATATAGTGGCTGATCTCCTACCGCTATCTCTGTGGGTAGTCTGACAAAACTCTCTCCTCCGAGCCAGATTTGAACCAGCAACCTATCTTCTAATGTTATCTACAGTCCTCCACTGTAGCTCCACTGAGCTATGGTAGGTAGAGAACAGACACCACTCAGCCCTAAGACCCACGTCCATACCTGGCATAGGGGAAACATTTGAAGTTCAGGAGGTCCCTTCACCGACTCCTCCAAGTTCACACCTTACTGCCAGATCTACCTGTACAAAACATATCATGGCAACCTCTGACGTACGTCCGCTTGGACTCAATTTTTAGAGACATTGATATCGCTGCAGAATCTTTACAAACATCAAAAGGTGTGTGTCTGATATCGGTACCCATGTCCTCTGTTTCATCACAAACTGAAACCCTTCTAAGCAGTCTGCTAATTCCTCCTTTAATATCTAGTAGAATATCGACAATCTAAGATAGATCTAAGTAATGTATTTATGGTGTATTCTTCTGATGTCTAGTAGTGGAAATAGAATGTTTGGAATAGAACCGAATAGAATTATTATTCATTTTCATTTCACTATCACAAGCACAAAGCAACAAAATGAAGTTTGCATCATCATCATCATAGACGACATGGTATTAACATGAGTACAGAGACTATGTTCGCCTGGACTATATGGTATATATAACAGAGTGTAATTGTAAGAGGCTATGAAATAAATAAATATGAAAGTTATTTACAGATTATTCAGGAAAGGTAGATTTTGGATTATATACATACATTAAAACCTATTGAAATTGTAGGTGTTCTTGACTGGGGATAATTCTCTTCAGAGTTTAGAGCTGAGTATCGCCACACTTTCATCCGGTGCAGGTTTCTGGGGACGAGGAAGGCAAGGAGAGTTAAGGGGGTTTTATAGTGAAGGCATTGCCTCAGGGTACTGCAGCCACTTCTATGCTTCTGATTCAGGGTTAGAAATCCAACTTTTTTGTAAAACCTTTTTTACCCCAATCACAGTAAGTAAAAAGCAGGAACAACATAACAGTTATGTTTTCTGTTTTTCTCATAGATCAGATTAAGACTCGTGAAACTTTTCCATGATAGCCCAGAATGAGCGGTGTAAAGAATTCACTCCGCTTGAGTTCAAGCACATTTACCGCACAAACCACCTGTGATACAGAGCCTGGACTTCCCAAATTTCATTTTGTATAAACTCTGCATAAAATTGACATTGATGTTTGTCTAAGTCTTAATAAAGCATAACGGTTGTTATAGAAAGGATCTATATAGCAGGGATTATTTTTTTCTAAGTAATTAGGTTTTTTATGGTTGTATTTTAAATGTAGGATTTTATAAAATAAAGAGTAAGACTTCAAAAATAATCATTATATTGTAGCCAATTCATATTTCTTTCTGTGTTTAACAAATAAATTTAACCTAAAGGAAATAGAGCAGTGGAAGCTTAAATACTTCACTGAACAGGTTATCATTGGAGNGAGGAGAGTTAAGGGGGTTTTATAGTGAAGGCATTGCCTCAGGGTACTGCAGCCACTTCTATGGTTCTGATTCAGGGTTAGAAATCCAACTTTTTTTTAAAAGCTTTTTTTACCCCAATCACAGTAAGTAAAAAGCAGGAACAGCATAACAGTTATGTGTTCTGTTTTTCTCATAGATCTGATTAGGACTCGTGAAACTTTTCCATGATAGCCCAGAATGAGCGGTGCAAAGAATTCACTCCGCTTGAGTTCAAGCACATTTACCGCACAATATTTGTGATACAGAGCCTGGACTTCCCAAATTTCATTTTGGATAAACTCAGCATAGAAATTGACATTGATGTTTATCTAAGTCTTAAAAGAGCATAACGGTTGTTATATAAAACGATCTATATAGCAGGACATCTTTTAATAGGTAATTATGTTCTTTTTTTGTTTCATTGTATTTTAAATGTGGAATGATTTCGTAAAATAAAGGGTAAGACTTTCAAAATAATTATATTATGGCCAATTCATATTTCTAAGGACTGTGTTTAACAAAAAACAAATTCAACCTAAAGGAAATAGAGCAGTGGAAGCTTAAATACTTCACTGAACAGGTTCTCGTTGGAGGGAAGATTATTGTAGCTCCAGATGGATTCAAAGATCGTTTTCACACTGAACGGCAGCATCCTCTCATTCAGGATATTTTTATTCTCCAGTTTTAATCTGATTGTTGGAGATCAAGGAATCTGAGACAAAACACCTGATTAAATTCTTCAAGTAGACTATTGGTTGATTCCTTACATGATTTATAATATTGTGTGGTAAAATATCACCATCCCCTTTAACTGATCAGTGATGTTACTTTTGTTCTCTCTTTGACTAAATGTAAATCACCATCATCCTTAATTTGGTAATTGAACTAACCTCTGGCATAATAGGGATTTCTGCACAGAAATTAGTAACCTCATTAAGAACATTTAATTGATGGAACTTTCACCTTTGAGGTAACAGGAATAGCTCATATTTAGTGCTAAGAAAGTTGCAGTCAGGATTAGTAAACTGGTTTATAAAATTGATGCAAAAAAACAACCACAAATAATTTATATCAATTGTATAATAATAGAAAAACTTGTTTTTTAATTTTTGTGTACAACAACACAAATTGAGTTGTACAAGTTGTTCATCAAAAACCTCTAACACTGTCACTTTTTCTATAAATGGTCCAGAACTATTGTTGCAAAATCAGATTTTTATTGTTCAGACTNTATATATATATATATATATATATATATATATATATAAAAAATGAGCCATAGCACGTAAATAAAAACCTAAGATATAAAATAAATATTAAAATATTAAATATGTAAACAGTAGTGTGAATGGTGCAAATAGTGCATAGAGTAGCAGTCCTGACGTGGGGGAAGTAGTGGAGGATGGGGATATTGGGGGGTCAGGGGGGGGCGAAGGGGGGCAGGGCAGGGAGGGAATTGAGCATCCTCACTGCCTGATGGAAGAAGCTGTCTCTGAGCCTACTGGTTCTGGCCTGGAGACTCTGCAGCCTCCTACCGGACGGCAGCAAGGTGAAGACATTGTGGGCGGGGTCACCTGCAATCCTGGTGGCTCTGCCGGTGAGGCGGGAGTGATAAATGTCCAATAGAGAGGGGAGGGGGACACCGAGGATCTTACCAGCTGCTTTCATGGAGCGCTGCAGTGTCTTGCAGCAGGCTGCAGTGCAGGCTCCGTACCACACGGTGATGCTGCTGGTCAAGATGCTCTCGATGGTGCCCTTGTAGAAGGAGTGCAGGATGGGGGGCGGGGCTCTTGCTCTCCTCAGTTTCCGCAGGAAGTAGAGTCTCTGTTGGGCTTTTTTTCCCAGGGACGCGGTGTTGGTGTCCCAGGACAGGTCTTGAGAGATGTGGACACCCAGGAACTTGGTGCTGCTCACCTGCTCCACCTCAGCACCGTTGATGATCAGGGGAGCGTGCCTTTTCCTGAAGTCCACCACAATCTCCTTTGTCTTCTCTACGTTCAGATGGAGATGGTTGTCCTGGCACCACGTGGCCAGGCGGCTCACCTCACTCCTGTAGTTTGTCTCATTGTTGTTGTTGATGAGACCCACCACAGTTGTGTCGTCTGCGAATTTGATGAAGATGTTGGAGCTGAATGTTGGAGTGCAGTCGTGGGTCAGCAGAGTGAAGAGGAGGGGGCTCAGCACACATCCTTGGGGGACCCCCGTGTTCAGTGTGATGGTGCTGGAGGTGTTGCTGCCGACCCGAACAGCCTGTGGTCTCCCCGTCAGGAAGTCCAGCAGCCAGTTGCAGAGGGAGGTGTTGAGTCCCAGCTGGACCAGTTTGCCGATGAGCTGCTGGGGGACGATGGTATTGAATGCTGAGCTGAAATCGATAAACAGCATTCTGACATGTGAGTCCCTGGTCTCCAGGTGGGTGAGGGCTGAGTGGAGGGCGGTGGAGATGGCGTTATCGGTCGAGCGGTTGGACCGATATGCAAACTGGTAGGGGTCCAGATTGGGGGGGAGGGCAGACTTGATGTGGTGCGTGAGTCCCTGGTCTCCAGGTGGGTGAGGGCTGAGTGGAGGGCGGTGGAGATGGCGTTATTGGTCGAGCGGTTGGACCGATATGCAAACTGGTAGGGGTCCAGATTGGGGGGGAGGGCAGACTTGATGTGGTGCATGACTAGCCGCTTGAAGCACTTCATGATGATGGGGGTGAGTGCGACAGGGCGATAGTCGTTGTGGCAGGTGGGGGGCGACTTTTTCGGTACCGGGATGATGGTGGTGGCTTTGAGGCACATCGGGACGACAGCTTGTCTCAGCGAGATGTTGAAGATGTCAGTGAAGACATCCGTGAGCTCTGCAGCAC